TCACAGAATGAAGTATTTTAAGGGAGCACAGGTCCAGTGCCCATAACAGGTCCAAATGAATGAGTTCCACATTCCCTCTTATCAAGAGCACTTGAAAAAACATATCCGACTCTTTGAGGAGTTCTATTTCTTAGACCTATTATACTGGGAGGCTCAAGAATTGGTTGGAATTGCTCTGCCTCTGACATAGGCATTCCAGAACAATCTCACTGCATTCTTAGTCCAACCCAGAACCCACAGTTGGAATATTTCTGAATTTCCTCATTGTAATAGGAGAACCTCTCAAGGTTACATTTGGAAATTAAAATCTATTTCCAAATATTTTCAAGTTATGTGGTTTGCAAAATTGAATGACACGAAATGAATGGCCTTGAATAAATAAACTTATTTTTAAGAAATTAAAAAGTCTTTGTATGAAAAAGTATTTATACGATATTTATTGTTAACTATCATTAATGCAGAAACTCAACTTTATTTACCAATATCCGAATGTAACAGAGGTCTCATGTCATGTGAAAGGGCAACCAAAGTAGAGAACACATTCTCTAATGATACGTTTAAGATTCATGCGAATTATTGATTAGATATTATATTTGGTGTTTCAACAGTTTGTTGGTATTTTTTCAGGAAACAAAGCATTGTCCATTTGGTGGCACAATAATACATTCTATCTGTCACTCAAACCTGATGGAGATCAGCCTAACTGGCACAGTCCACTGCATCATCAAGAGTTTCATCACGATCCAGCAGGTGTATCTGTAGGAAGCCTAGTGCCTTAGAAGAAGATATGAGATAGCTACATAGCTGACCATACAAGATCCAAACCTAAAGAATGAAGAAAAATACATACGAACATGATTTCACCAGCTCTTATTTTCTTCATGTGTCACAATCTTTTCAGGTCACTTAATTTTGAGTTTATGTTCAAGTTTACCAAAGGTTGATGGAGATATTTCAGGTAGAAACAGTGGTTGCCATGCCAAAGGGCACTACCAACTCAGGTGTGATTCAGTTGAGTAGCAGGAGATCAGATCACAGTGGTGAGAAGTCTAGAGAGCAATTCAGAGGGACAGTCATCTTGGGCAGAAAATCTGTCCTATGCAAAAATGTCAGCAAGAGGGTTACAGAGTTACAGAGAGACGTGAGGGGTGGGGTGGTGGGCAAGATTACATCCCATAATCACGCATTTTAAAGATTAGAATTTAAGTTCATGATTTTAATAACTCCCAACAGCCAACACTTTATTTAGCTTAGAAGCAGAAAACAGACATCTATCCTGTGTCTGAATTTGTAAAACACAATCATCATCATCCCCCCAAAAGACTGTATTGTGACACACTGGAAAGGCTAATTGAAACAATAAAAGTAAAAACTGAATATGAGAGACAATGATACTTTTTCTAGTGTGTTGATAATGGTAACTAGCCCTGGAGTCTAAGATTTTAACCCCTGCTTCATACTGGCTTCTGTTATATGTCATTGAAATTTCCTGATTTTGTGCTGTGAAATAAAATAATGTGCATAGCATTTTGTGGTACCTAATAATACTAATCAATTTCTTCAAGCCTATCTTCTGTGATTCTACTGAACATCTACTAAACCATTAACCACTATTAGGTTTTCTTTACCATAGATAATTAACCAATCTATAATTAGCCTTTAATACCCACATGTCAGAATAGAGTGGTAACTTAAAGCTCTAGCTGATGGTGTTGATTCAGCTACAAATAAAGGGAGGAGAGGACTTTCTTATTTCCTAAAAAAAGGCTTTTCTTGCCAGATTTCATAAAAGCATACCTTTTCTCAAATAACATTATAAAAAAAAATGATCTTTGTAATGCAATCCAACTCAGATGCTGCCTTTTCAAGAAGCCATGCCTGATTCCTTATAGTCAGAATCGGTTTGTATCTTCTTTATTTGTTGTTGTTTCAAGAGAACTCTATTAGTTTTTTGATTCAAATAATGGTTTTGAATAACTTCTTCATTAACATAGGACAAAAATCCCAGAAGTTGTCACTCAAGGAAATTTCACACACTTCTTCCCCTCAGCCACCAGCTCTCCTTTCTGGAGATAAGCAACATAATCAATCCTTGAGTGTCCCTCCAGATAGATTTCTTAGTACTCAAATTACATGTCTTTACATGAACAAATAAATATAAATACAAATGTAAGTATATCCCTTTCTCAAAAATAGTGGCAATATTCTATACACATCTTGTTTCTTAAAAATGTTAAATATATGTATGAATAGGTAATAAAACAAATATATATCTTAAAGAATAATTATGGTATCTGGTGAATGTCCATGTCAATATGTAGAAACAACCTCATTCTTTGTATAGTTGCATAGTTTTCCACTGAATGGAAGTCCACAGTTTAACTGCTTCTTAATAATGGACATTTGATTCCAACTTAATGATTATAGGCAAAGCTATAATCAATAACATAGAAGCAGAATTTCTAGGTAAATTTTATGCATTTGTAATTCAGATTGAAATTTCCAATTTTCTGTTTCCATTGGGAATGCTCCATGGTCTTTTACTCTTTCCTCATCACAAACAATTTCCTGTATCTGCACATTAGACCTTGCTCAGATTTTCACCTTGCTAAAATATGTACGCTATACAGAGAGATGTGTGCCATTTGTAAAAAGCCAGGCCAACCTTAGTTTCCAAGATATTCCTGTCAGAACTCAGGCAGATATGAAATGAAATCATTAAATTAAATTAAATTAAAACATTGTGATCTGGCTACAACCTTTGGCATCTCATAGGCCTGCAGCTTCCACTCCAATCTTGCACCCTGACATTCAGACCTAGTTTGTGGAGAATGCAGGTCAAACTCCCTTGGGTAAGGATGGTTCTAGTCCCCAGGCCTGGGGTTCTGCCTCAGTTCCCTTTCCCTAGCTCCTGTCTGTTTACCAAGCCTGGTATCCCAGCTCTTCCAGTCAATGGCGGGGTCATATCCTGGAGAAAGGGGGTGTTGTAAGTTATCACCTTGACCATGGACATTGAAAAGACTTACATAAAATTTCACAGACCACTAGATTGATTTACAGTTCAAAAACTTTAATTACAAAGCAGAAGAGTCAAATTAACCTAATGTTATTTTAAGGAGCTTAGTTAAAAACAGGTTGACAGAGGGAACGTTTTATGCAAAATGTGGTCCTAAGACTTTGTGTGCTTTTCCAAGAAAGCTGTTGATCTTGGCTGCAAGAAATTTCCAGTCCCAAAGGAAAGTAATACTTTTTTGACAAAGACTAAGTATATACACTCTTGCATACGGACAATCATTTTCTCTCTCAGATAGAATTTCATAAAATGCAAATGTTCTTGCTTCATAAAAAAATGTGGCCTTTCCCACTAAAGAGTGAATTTTCCGTGAGCAAGAGTGACACTGAAATAGTCCTTTTTATGTGCTCACAACACTTAAGCTTATTTTTTAGGAAGGCTGGAAGGGAAGTGGTTTCATATGACCAAGATAGTCTAGTAGTTTTAAAATTTGTTCAGATGGGGGAGCCTGGGCGGCTTAGTCGGTTAAGTGTCCGACTTTCGCTTAGGTCATGATCTCGCAGTTCGTGGGTTCGAGCCCCGCGTCAGGCTCTGTGCTGACTGCCAGCTCAGAGCCTGGAGCCTGTTTCAGAGTCTGTATCTCCCTCTCTCTCTGACTCTCCCCTGCTCATGCTGTCTCTCTCTGTCTCTCCTAGAAAAAAATTTTTTTTTGTTCAGATGAAGGGATATCAGTGCTCTTTGACAGTAACACAAAATAGAGTTATAATAAAACTCAGTACCTAATGATGAGTTGTGGGACATAAAAGGATATTATCATATAGTGGATTCTATTTAAATCAGTAGGCACTGAGTTCTTAAGAAAAATGCAGGGAAAAAACTTAATTGAGAAACTTCTATCCATTAAAGTGTATTTTTTCTTCTGTCAGAACAGCCAATTTTCACAGTATTTATATTTCATGAGAAGAATTTAAGAACCAGCAGGTTAAGACACTGATTGACAATCAGACCCAGGCAGGAACATCCTTCAGAGGAAGAAACAGAAGACTATCAGTGGCGTTTGCTTTAATGAGCTTTTATTAAAAGCAGGTTAATAACTAGTTCTGCAGAGCTGAGGGTACAGCTTTGAACTCCGTAGCTCTGCTGTATCTTCCATTCTGGTAAATATTGATGCTTATAGTTTTATTATTAGCAAAATATCACTTTGGCCAACACTTTCCTTAAAGGTTTGGAAATAAAACATTGCATTTTTACATTTCCAAAGAAATGGTGCTCATTGGGATCCCCATTTAGGGATTATGACTTTCAGGATAGCTTTTTAAACCTTATGGATTTAGGGGCAGACACTTAGCCCCTCAAAGGTTCTGATAACAAAATCTCAACGTCATGAAAAAAAGAAGAGTTGTAGATTTGGAAAATTAATTCCTTTCACAGATACATTACTAGATGGGTGTGTATGTTTTCAAAAGCCTTCCCAGAGTATTCCCTCTATTTAGAATTTAGACTTGCAATCAAAATTAAACCAAAACTAGCAGAATTAATTTATAGATTTATAATATTATTATTGTTCTCTGTGGCGATCATTAAAAATACTATGAAATGTTGAATATCTGGATTGCACCACTCACATCTGTGTCCTGGAGTAGTGCAAAGAGCTTCCTTAAAGGCTTCCTACTTCTCTCTTGTGCTCTTTCCCTTTCAGGCTTTCCTAAACTCAATAGCCCAAAGAATCCAGTTTAGCCCAGTTCAGTCCAGGTCATTCTTCTTGCAAAACTTTCTAATTCTTTCCAATCTCACTTAGAGTGAAAGCCAGAGTCCCAACAAGGCCCTATAAGACCCTGTCCCTTACCTCTCTCTTTTATCTAGTCACAGGGATCTCTGAAGTTCCTCAGACAGGGCACACATCCTCCTGCCTCAGGGCCTTTGCATCTGTGTTCCTCCCATGCTTTCCCAGACTCTTTCAGGCTTACTCCTTTTCTCTTTCAGAGCAGTGAAGCCTTCCCATCTAAAGTGAATCGCTGCTCTATTTTTTGCTCTGCCATTACTGCCTTCCAAGGTATTGTCTATTTTATTTACTTATCTTGTTTATTGTCTGTCTTCTCTGCAAAGATTTAAGCCTTGTAGGGCAGGGGTTTTGTTTGCTTTGGTCACTATCGTATTCCTGTTACTTAGGGTGGGAGCCTGGTTTATAGAAGGTGCTCAATAAAATTTTCCTGAATGCTAAGTACTGCCTTTATACAGGTGTCGACGCCCCTAAGACTACCGGGAACATGCCTGCAGTTAACTGGGCTGGGTTTATTACCAGTTACAGCCAGGGATAATTCCCAGCATGGGGAACTGTGAGGTTGCTCAGTAAGAGGGTAATCAGGAGGAGCCTCTGATGGAACTCAGGTTTTAGACGAGCGATCTGGCAGAAGGTCTAAGAAAACGGAGATTTTCTCCATATTGGATATTGTCAGAGAGCAAGCACATATCTATAATTGGGTGAAGAGCAGCAGGCATTCCTAAGATAGGAGAGAGGGAGGTTTCGTATTTGTGGGTTGCACAGTGACCTTGGCTTTATTTGTGCTTGGACAAAATGAAAAAGTGGCCTTGCTTTGTCTCATTTTATTACAGTCTGAGATTAAACTTGTGTGAGGTTGGTAGTCTGTGAAATTGTTTGTCTCATAGAAGAATAACATGGCATAGTTCTAAGTGCCTCCAGCTTCTGAAATCTGGATATTGCTTTTTTTTTTTTTTAACGTGTCACAAGCAACTAAACTTTTGTGGGGAAGGAGTGAGAGGGGAACTAGGAATAGAGGATAGGAGCTTCTCTGCAGACTCTTGTATCTGCACATGGCATGCCAATCTCTCAAGGGGACCCCCCTTCTTCACTATTCTTCACTGTCAGGATGGGGGAACCACAATGAGGTGAGGTTTGAGGCTGGCTTGATATAAGGCAGTCCCTGCTTTTCTGTAATTTTGTCATATTCCCCTCTAGTGGGCTAAGAAGATGAGAACTGTGAAGCCAAGTCAGGGTAGTTTCAGCCAAGCCTTCCTCACTATGGCTCTTCTCTCTAGCAAGAGACGGGTCTGAGGAGAAAACTACCTCCCATTACCCTCAAGTTTTCAGGGATGTCCCACTTTGCTGGCAGTCATTTGTTCAGAGGCCTTCAAAATGTCTTCACAGAAGTTTCCGTGTTGAAGGAAGGGAACTAGTCCTTCATACATGTTCCCAGAACAAACCCTACTCCTGTGAAGAGAAAATCAGGTGATAAAATTTAGGGGTAAAGTCCATGTGATACTCCTCACTCATCCCCACCCCCAATACCTTGCCAACTCTTCCCAAAATTGCACCAATTAGAAATTTGCTTAAAGAAGAAAACCTTTCTGGATAGATTGTGAGAGGGGAAGGAAGGAGGAAGAGGAAGGCTGCTGTTGGTTGAGGGTGGGTAATTGCACAGACCGTTATGCTGTAATGACTGGTCGAGATCCAGGTAAAGCTCGGTGGGATTTGGGTAGCATGGGCGGGGTGAGCTAAAGGGGTCCAGAAGAGTTCTGAAGCAAAGGGCATGTTTGGAAGGGAAGGCGTGCATAGATTCCCTGGTGAGGGAAAAAGGGTGGGTAAGCAGGCAACCAATGATTGCCTAATGGGGACAGGGGATCAAAAAACTTTCCAGAGGTGCCAGGTGAAGGGATCTCTTCCCAGAAAGCCATATTTAATTAGGAGAATGACAGAGGGAATACTGGCACTGTGACCTGCCTGCATGGGAAGCAGAAAGCTGGGACATACAGCAAGCAGAAGACAGAAGCACTGAACTTATTTACTTTGCCTGTATTTGTTGTGTACCCTGTACATTTTACTAAGACTTTGGCCTTCCACCTGCCATGGAGTGGCTACCCTCCAGTGACCAGAATAAGGGGAATAATAATATTCCAGGATAAGGAGAAAAGAATCACTTGGTAACTTTGTAATGAATGGGTGAGGATTTTCAGGCAGTAATGAGGGGGCTGACCAAAGGGGAAACAATAATCAGTGGAAAGCTATGTTTTGAATAAAACCCAAAGCAGAAAGTTTTTGATGGGATACACACACACACACACACACACACACACACACACACATATGTAGCCTTCTCTAACATGAGCTGAATTTTAACTTTAATGTGTTTTGTTTTGTTTTTTTCTGAGAGAGAGAGAGAGCGTGAGCAGGGGAGGGTCAGAGAGAGAGAGATACAGAACCTGAAGCAGGCTCCAGGCTCTGAGCTAGCTGTCAACACAGAGCCCGATGCGGGGCTCGAACCCGCGAACCGTGAGATCATGACCTGAGCCGAAGTCGGACGCTTAACCGACTGAGCCACCCAGGAGCCCTGAATTTTAACTTTAAATAAAAGCTTTCCCCCCCTATTAATGAACACATATGCAAGTAAATCCATTTTTCTTATCCCTAAGGCAGAATATAATTTAAAAAATCAAGAAAAGGGACATTTTTAAGGACCACGATTCTTATTGTATGCATAAAATTATATCCTCTTGAAAATACTGTTCTCTTCATAATTTATACCTTCAGGGTAACATATTTCATGTTACTAAGATGAGTAATCTTATCCATCTTTGTGCTGTGAAGGAACACATTTATTCAATTCACAGATATTCACGCAAATATCTACCTTCATAATTCTTTAAAACATATATATATGTTTAATATTTGTTTTTTATTTTAGAGAGAGTGTGAGTGGGGGAGGTGCAGAGAGAGAAAGGGACAGAGGATATGAAGTAGGCTCTGCACTGACAGCAGAGAGCCCGATGAGAGGCTCGAACCCCCCGACGACGAGATCATGCCCTGAGCCAAAGACAGCCGCTCAGATGACTGAGCCACCCAGGCACCGCCCACCCAAACTGATATTCTGCTTATATCCGTTTTACTTAGCACTTCTTAAATGTCTTTGAATAAAGTTTCACACATTATTTTAGCAATTGGTCAGTTCAAGTTTTCTATTTTTCATAAATTATTTTAAATTTTGGGTTGCCTTACTGTCCTAGGCCTAACAAATGCTATACGGTTTAGCTGGTGACCTCTAGCGGCTAAAAATGAAAATTACGTACAATATGCAGCACACTGCTTTGCTGACGGAGATACTCAAAAGCCACAGATTCCGCGAAAAAACTTCCGTCAGTCTGAGTTTCTGGTTGTAAGCGACCGAAACGAAACCCCACTGACTTGGGCAGAAGCGTGCTGTCCCATGAGGACAACCGGGCCCCTTAACAGCAACACCATGGATATCAGGTTCTGGATGTCCCTAGAGGCATCTGGATGTCCTGCTACTTTTGGACGCCGGAATTTCTGGCACTACCACCTTCCAGGCTCTTTGATTCCCAAGATCTCAATTCAAAATCCAGAGTAGGATAGATCCTGACGGCGATCGCACATCCTCACCCTAGCTGCAAGGAAAGCTGGGAAAGCATTTGACCATTTTGGCTTAGCGAGGTAACACAAAGTTGTAAGGTTAGATGAGATGAATATTTTATCAAGTATGTAAGCTTAGTGCCTAGGATTTGATGAGTTTTCAAAAATGATAATGGGTATAACTTTACATTTTTATTTGATCACGAGCTTTTTTGAGAGCAAGGACCACATCTTACTCATTTTGTATTCTGGGCATAGGGTCTGAAGTTCCAGGAATGCTTATTGAATTGCATTGCTTGCCCCTGAATGGAAACTAAGTCACTAGGCCTGCTTCTATATCTCAATTTATTTATAGTCCTCTTTAAAATCTTTAAATAAAAAACACTTTAAAACATAAATACATAGCAGCAAGAATAATATCCATCCAGTATTTGAGTCTTTTTCCTCAAAATTATCACTAATAGAAAATTACTTCTCCCTACAGGCCTTCCACAGTACATTAAAGAAGAAGATAAGGTTTTATCTTATCATGAAAGTATTATCGGAAGGACAATTAAGGTTTTGTGTTATTCAAACTGTACATCTCACATCATGGCTGCTCATACTCTTTATTCTGAAGTCTAGCTCTTCTCTAAAACCTGCTCGACTTCCAGTTTATCAAAGGAAACCTTTTATAGCTGCTTGGAATGCGCCAACGGATCAGTGTTTGAAAAAATACAATATAAGACTAAATTTGGGAATGTTTCAGCTGATTGGAAGCCCACTGGCTAAGGCCAGGGGGCAGAATGTCACCATATTTTACGTCAACAGGTTGGGATACTATCCGTGGTATACATCACAGGGGGTTCCCATTAATGGGGGTCTCCCTCAGAACATAAGTCTGCAAGTACATCTAAAGAAAGCTGACCAAGATATTAGTTATTATATCCCTGCTGAAGATTTCAGTGGACTTGCTGTTATCGACTGGGAATATTGGCGACCCCAGTGGGCCCGTAACTGGAACACAAAAAACGTCTATAGACAGAAGTCAAGAAATCTGATTTCTGATATGCAAGTGAATGTATCAGCTACTGATATTGAAAAAATAGCCAAAGCAGCATTTGAAGAAAGTGCAAAAGCTTTCATGAAGGAAACCATCGAATTGGGAATGAAGAGTAGACCCAAGGGCCTCTGGGGTTATTATTTATATCCCGATTGCCACAATTATAATATTTATGCCCCGAATTACACTGGGTCATGCCCTCAAGAGGAAGTTTTGAGAAACAATGAGCTCTCTTGGCTCTGGAATAGCAGTGCTGCTTTGTATCCTTCTCTTGGTGTCCGAAAATCTCTTAGAGACAACAAAAACGTTTTGCGCTTCTCACAATTTCGGGTGCAGGAATCTATGAGGATCTCCACCATGACATCCCATGATTATGCTCTGCCTGTGTTCATCTACACGAGGCTAGGCTACAGAGATGAACCTTTATTTTTTTTTTCTAAGGTAAGACACCCCTTGCCGAAGATGGGGGGCTTTCCTCCCTATCTCTAAAGGAAACATTTCTTTGTTAATTATGTTTTTTGAAGAATTGCCAGTTAGTGGTCATTTAGAAAGGAACCTAATTCTTTCTTCAATTAGCCATCCTCTTAGACTCTTCACTTACACAAACTGAATTTTAATCATCTTATTTACAATTATTCTTTTAAGGAACACAGTGTGGAGGGAAGGTTTAAAGTGCTAAGAACCAACTATTACCGCCTCCTCCTCCCCAACTTTGATGATGCTCCCTCACCGTTGGCCTTTATTGAAATGGTTGGTGGTGAACAGGCTGGAAAATCAGAGAAGATGTTTTAAAATGGAACAATTTGGGGCCCCTGAGTGACTCAATTGGTTACGTGTCCAACTTTGGCTCAAGTCATGGTCTCGTGGTTCGTGAGTTCCAGCCCCGCTTCAGGCTCTGTGCTGACTAATTAGCTCACACATGTGGAAGTGTAATTGGAAGCATTCTTGCTTCTGGCCTCACTGTCTAATGTAAGAGAGAAAAAAAAAGTGTTCTTTTTCATGTATAATACCAGTTTTCATAAAAGGTACGAGGCACAACAATGTGAACATATGAACACTAGTGAACTGTACACTTCGAAACGATTTAAGTAATAAATTTTATATGTGTCTTTTTACCATAATTAAAAATTGTTTAAAATTTAAAAAAAAATTTCAAGAAGCATAAGGGTGAATCTGCAAAAATAGGTGGATCTACAGACTTAGCCATCTGGTTTATTCTTGCCTCATGACCAGAGCTAATGGAAAGTAAGAGTGGTGCAAGTTCTCAAATTCAATCATAAATTCATCACTGGTAGATGGTTTTGCAATCCTAGGTTAAGACCTACAAATAAAAGTTTTATTCTGTTTATTTTACTGTAGTAGCATACTATTTATTACCTGGTGAGGGAGCATAAGGCAAGCTGACAGGCCGCAACCGCCTCCCCGCCCCCACCCCCACCCCAAGGTGGGAGACGTGTGATATTCCTTGGGCACTCCTGGCTGCCCAAGAACAAAGGAAAGGGGAAAACAAATGGTTAACTGATAGAGATCATAGTCTCAGGACCTAAGTCTCCCTCACCCCTCCATAGTTCTGTGGGAAACAAGAGCAGAAGGAAATGGCAGATAGAACTAAATTTCCTTATACCCTGCAGCCCATTGACAAATACTTGAGGCAGGCAGAGTAAAATGTTTCTCCGGGAACTCCCTACTGTCTTAATGCTAATACTTTGCCAGAGGGAAAAACAACCTTAGCTTGACAATGGCTAGGCCTGCAGGATCTTGTAATCTTCTTCAGCATATGAAAATCTCACTGAACCCCCCCACCCCCACCCCATAGTATATAACCAGTCTCTTCCCCTGGTCCAGGGCAGCAACTCTTGCTGCCCACCATCCTATCCCCTTCGCTGAAGCACCAAAAGCATCACCTTTTTCACCAGACACCTTCAAGAATTCTTTCTTGGTTGTTGGCTCTGGACCCCACAAACCCCACTGTCACTCCAAAAACCCCTCATCATTTCCCACGAACCATAAGGGTAACTTACAAAATAGATGAACTTTCAGCCTAATTTCTCTCCCTTTTTTTTTTTTCTCACTTTGCTACTCTAGTCACTCAGATGGAAACTTCTAGAGGTAAAAATCTACAAGATGCCACTCCAACGGTTGGCCTTGAATAATTATGTGTAAACTTTCTATGATATAAAAACCAGAGACTTGTTCAGGCCTTCACATGGGTATTCTAAGATACTACTGGGTACTATGAGTTTATCACATTTCTTCCTTCCCCACCATTACAAGTTTCAATTCACCAGCGTGTATTAAAATATAAAGACGCACTGAGTGCGAGGCATCTAAAGGAGGCTCAGGAAAGACCCAGGTGAGGTACAGCTTAATCCTCAGAGGAGGGAAAGACACCGATGTATCAGGACTTGGTAAACGCTATGCCTTGGATGCCATTAAGGAGACGCGTAGGGAAAAAAAGTATTGTGAACTGATACTTGTACTTCCCAGAAAAGTCGGCAATAAATGATCGAGAATGATAGGAAATCAGTACTGCCTGGGAGGTTTAAACAGCTATCTAGATCTTCACAAAATAGTCTTGACCCTGGAGCTTAAATACTACTTTCTTCTATGAAACTTTGTTTCCTTTTCTATATTTGGCTCAAATACGTTTCTATCTTTGGTGATAATAAATTCACTTTGGGAAGAAACAATAAACTTGACGGGACAAAGCAGTCATTTCAAAAGATTAGTTTAGACTCTTGGTACATTCTGCACATTCCATAAACCTAGATAACTTTCCCTGAGTGGCCGCGACATCAGAAATATTTATTCTAAGTAAAGAAGGAACAATAGTTAGGCTCTCATGTAGCAACAATTCTCTTTGGCAGTCCCAGGAATCATTCTGGAAACTTTCTGAATGGAAACGTATTTCCAAATGTCTTAAACCATCAGTTTACCCACCAGTTTACTCTCTTCTCCATAAAAATTCTGCCCACAAAGTTTTAAAAACCTGATATTCCTTTGTACCAAGTCATAAATGACTAATAATGGCTTCCATTTCTAATTTTCCCAAAGATAGCTGCACTTTAGTTACTTTTAAAAGATTATTTATTTATTTATCTTTAAAATGTTTATTTTTTTATTTTTGAGAGAGAGAGAGAGAATGAGTCAGGTAAGGGCAGAGAGAGAGGGGGACAGAAGATCTGAAGTGGGCTCTGCGCTGACAAGATCTTTATCAATAAGTAGCAAATTTCTTAACCTGTCAGACCTCAGTACCTCATTGTTTCAATCTATAAAATGGGACAGTATTATCTGCCCTACCTGCCTACCAGGAGTTTTATGAAAATCAAATGAGAGCATGTATATGAATATTTGAGGCACTACAAAAACATATGTTGTATAGCTGTCACTTTTAACAGGTACTAAAGCCTTGAATTTAGAAAGGAACTATCTAGGAATGAAGTCTCAGTCAGCAACCACAGCTTGATGGGATGATATAGGGACAGTTAACACCTTATTTCAAATGAGAGATTGTTTACGCTACTTACATGTGCACAACTTGAATAGAACTTGATGCTATGTTTTAAAAAAATAATGAAAGGAGTTTTGTTGGCGAATAGATTTAAAGATCTTTTTCTCTAAAATTAATTAACATCCCCTCTGCTGATGCACAAGGGAGGCTCATTAGTGAGACTCCAGCTCCCCACAGTGGGCGCCTTACTTACATGCACTGTGGTGAGCATAAGGCAGTGAAACCTTATGAGTGCAAAGAAAACACTGGGACCTGGAAGATTGGTTGCTGTTACATCGTCCACTACTGTCTTATTTCTTCTTTCCCGTGACACCACTCCTGTGGCTCATGCTTTTACGTGGTCCTTGTCTATTCCCAGAGGCATCTTTTTAAAATTTTTAAATTAATGCTTATTATGTATTTTTGAGAGAAAGAATGCAAGTGGCGGAGGGGAGAGAAGGAGGGAGACACAGAATCTGAAGTAGGATCCAGGCTCTGAGCTGTCAGCACAGGGCCCAATGCCGGGCTTGAACTCATGGACTGTGAGATCATGACCCATGCCAAAATCAAGAGTTGGATGCTTCACCGACTGAGCCATCCAGGCGCCCCTGTTCCCAGAGGCATCTTACCTGTGACTTCCCTCACTGAAAAGTGCCCTTGCTCTTGTGGTCCCCAAACATAGCCGCTCTGTGATTCATTCCAATATCCTGCTCTCAGCTAGGGGACAGTGAACTAATTTGGTAGAGAAATTTGTATTAATATCTGCTATTGACTCCTCACCTCCAGTCAACATATGCATGAAGACCTGTCATTTTGAATCAGTTCCAATAAACTCTGATAATGACTCTAAAAGACACATTGGGAAGAAACTAACGTTTCCTCCTGGTAATCAACTTTAGAAAGTGTGTGGGTTTCATTGCAAACATCTGCAGCTTCCTTACTTACTGAGCATGGATTAATAACCTATCAATACAAATTGTAAATACTGTGTCTCCCTCTTTCCTCTGATAGCAATGCTTTAACCCAAAGGAATTCATGGGAATTTTGGGGTTTCCAGTTCAACATGGTAAGAAGCTTGGACGTTGCCACTCCACCCTAAAAAGTTCAAAGTAAAACAAACTGAACAATCAACTCTTCTTAGATTCACAAAAGAAGTGAGGACACAGGGCAAGTTGCTGCCCTCAAAGTTAGGGAAGCAGATAGGTGAGTGTAGAGAACTAAAACTTATTAGACCAGAAACCTCTGTGGGAGCCACTGCCAGAGTTGGGAAACCTCAACCATAATTGACAAATTGCTGGAGGCTCAGTGTGGACAAGTCCAGGGTCTCCGTCATGGGTAGGGATATACTTTTGTGACTTCTACCTCCAAAAGCTTATTAAGTACTCATAGTGACTATCACAGGAAAATCTCATGCACCTGGTAGGGAAGAGGAGGAAAAGAACCATTTTGAATACTTGAGAGCCTTTTGTTCTTTTTTTTAAAAAGTTTTTTAAAATTTATTTTGAGGGAGACAGAGAGAACAGGGGACAGAGAGAGAATCCCAAGTAAGCTCCATGCTGATGTGGGGCTTGATCTCAGGAACTATGAGATCGTGACCTGAGCTGAAATCAAGAGTCGGATGCTTAACCGACTGAGCCACCCAGGTGCCTCAGAGCCTTTTGTTCTTCTTAACAAGGTCTGTCTTCAGGAGAAACTATTTAACCAGAACCAAACCCACTGGAGACTTATCAGATCCTAAGTGAACTAGGGGAAGGGAAATACTCAACTCTAGCTGGCTCTAGTCTTCCACTAGCAGGAAGGTAAATGCCCTGCTCTAACCCCATCTAGCCAGCCTATCCTATCTAAGAAGAGGGAAACATAACTGATCAACCTGTGAATTCATAGTCCAGAGGCAAAGGCTCACTAAAAGACTGAGACCTAATCATAGGACTGTAGAACCCTTCCATTCCCCCTACATCTTACTAGCACATTTACTGAGTGCCTATTTATAGCAGTTCCTTTTATGAGCTATTTGCCTACCAAAAAAAATTAAATCATGTCTAGCCACCAAGAAAAAACCCCAAAAGCTACAGGACATTCTAAAAGGCAAAAAACAGAATTTGAAGAGACAGAGCAAGCAACAGAACTAGACTCAGATATGGCAGGGATGTTGGAATTATCAGACTGGAAATTTAAATCAACTGTAATGAATATGTAAAGGGATATAATGGATAAAGTAGAAAGCATGCAAAAACAGGTGGGCAATGTAAGCACAGAGATGGAAATTCTAAGAAAGAATCAAAACGAAATGCTAGAGATCAAAAACACTGTAATAGAAATGAAGAATGTCTCAGGATATCTCAATAGAACCCTCCAAAGCTTAAAAGCAAAGAGAACAAAGACTGAAAAAACCAGAAGAGTCAAGAACTGTAAGATAGCTGAAAAGGGTACAACGTACATGTAATAGGAATTCATAGAAGGCCATTGGGAGATTTTGGCCCTCTGATTACATCATGTGAAAATGGCTTCACTGCATTCAAAGTGAGTGGAGGGAGAAGTCCTGCTCCATTATATCTTTGCCAAAAGAGGCAATGGACATGGACCCAGTAGAGTACTCATTCTGGGCACCACATGGATGGCTCCTCCTCTGTCCCATATTCACCGTATCATAGATAATTTTTAAAAACATTTCATTTCCACTAACTCATTAGAGCCTCATGAAAACTCCTTCCTTTCCTGTTACGTCAGGTCTGATCTATTCAGCAGACATTGTGGTCACAGAAATGGAAACAGATTTGAGCCTGAAAGAGAAATTAGTTCAAAGCAAAATCTCTTCCTTTTTTGAAGATTTCCAGAAAAAAAAACTTAAAAATTGAGATTATAAAGCCTTTAATTTGAGTGGACTATAAAAGTGTCAGCTAAGAAGATTTATCTCCCAAGTGTTGATATTAATATAAAATGCCCCAGGTAAAATTCAACTGTGAAGTTCTGGTTTTATTTACTACCAAATCACCCAGTTACATTTTCCAGCATATAACTGATGGAAATTCATCCTTGGAGTAAATGGTGAATGCTTAGTATCTTTTGTTTTGTTTTGTTTTGTTTTCTAAAGTTTATTTTTTATTTTGAGAGAGAGAGACAGAGAATCCCAAACAGACTCTGCACTCTCAGTGCAGAACCTGACCACACAGGGCTTGAACTCACGAACTGTGAGATCATGACCCATGCCAAAATCAAGAGTTGGATGCTTCACCGACTGAGCCATCCAGGCACACCCCTGAATGCTTAGTACCTTAAACAGTGAGAGAATAGACTATAATTTAGTAACCTTATTCAGGAAGCCTGCCATAGATGCTTAAATTAAGAAACCAACTACATACCTTCAAATTCTAATTTCCTTCTGAAATGGCCTGGTTCATGTTAATCTTTAAACACTAAAACAATAATCCTTTATGATTACAAAACCAAAATTCCCCTGGTGAGATTCTATTTTTGCCTGCTTAACCATACTGAGAGAAAGTCTGGCAGCTTTACCATGACTAGATGAATCACAAATAAAGCCCATTAAATCAGAGACTTTGAAATGATACATGAACAATTTCAGAGACCAAATACAAGGGCTGGACCAAGTCAGAGCCTGCAGGTCCTTAACACTGTGTTACTTTGCTTGGCCTTGGGGTCCAAGTGACACGAAACCCCTCTGAGGGGGGACGTCTTCAGAGGGATGTTGAGAACTGGAAAGAGAACTTAGCCAAGAGGAAGTGAGGTGTTCTTCACATTTAGAGAAGCAAACACTTTTGGATTCTGTTTCTGGGTCATGTACATAAGGCTGGTTTGTGTGCATGTGCCCCTGGTCGACTTTGATTAAACAGCTTCTGGTGACTATTTACAGGCTGATTGTCATCAAAATAATATCTTGTTTGGGAAAATGCAAGTTCTTCTTCAAAAATATTTCATGTTTTTCCATATTATTATGGAGTTTAATTTTTGAAATTTTACTTTTCATGCAACATGTGTGATACTCTAAGAAAATGAAGAATAAGGATGCCTGGCTGGCTCAGTTGGTGAAGCATATGATCCTTGATGTCAGGGTTGTGAGTTCGAGCCCCACATCGGGTGTAGAGATTACTTAAAAAATAAAATCTTAAAAAAAGAGTGTGCTAGGAGATGTACCAGCCTCGCTGGATGACAGTCACAGCGAGGAAATGGCAGTGTTTGCACAGCTCCTGCCGTGAGAAATGAAAACTGGTATCTCCTTCTGCTACTACTGGCTCATGTTGGAAATGAGCCTGCGGGTATTGACCAGGCCTCACAATATTCCAAATCAGACCGATATTCCCCACACAGATTCCTCATAAGAAAAAGCATATTCCTGTCTTTTCAAAAGAGATTTTAGATGAAATCACTGTGGATGATTTTCAAAAGGCTCTTCCTATGGGCCTAGCAGATCCAAGACTTAGGTAATAAAGGGGGTTAAGAACACAAGAGTTACAATTGAGCCTGGCCCTCAGACAAAGATTCTATTTTAGAGTTAAGGAACAGATAAGGGCAGAACTTAAGTTAATACTTATACCTTTTATAACTGGTGATGTATGGCAATCCCTTCCCTAAGGCCTACTTTCCACAAACACCCTCCCTAACAATGGCAGCTGGGATGAGGATAGATAAGAGTAGCTAAAAAAAAACCCAAAAACAAAAGCCGACACAATTAGGGCCTCCATGGTGTTTACACATTCAGCATCAAGTCAAAAAAGTTTCCACAAACAACTTGTTTCTGCTTGGAGCACCGACCCCCAAGGCATCTTGTGATCAGCATTTGGAGTGACTTACTCTGGCTTTGAATATGCTGATTGCTCCCTGTGAAGGAACCTATTGAGAAACTTCTTCTTTTGTGATTATGGGAGCAAACATTGTGTTTCCTGAAAGATCTGTTTTTCTTAATACTTCTCCTTAAACAAACAAGGTATTGACCCCTGCTCACAAAGGACCTTTTTATGCTAAACACATTGTCTTGTATGCTAAAGATACCTTCCTTCCCCATAGGATAAACATCTAAGTCACCTACCTCAATCACTATTGATAGAGGTTATGCAGAAGTCTTCTACAAATCTATGTTCTGGAAAGTTCTTACATATCAAAGAAATTTGTCATCAGAAATCATTGTCTAAGGCAAATGCCACTTGTGTCATCCCCCAAACACTTAATGATAAAATAAAGTTGAGCCCTAGTCAGAGCAGAGAAGCCTGCCTGGTGACCAGAAAGATTCTCGTGGCCTCTCTCATCCCTCCCTCGCCGACACTGTCCATCCTTCAGGGACCCCTGGACCTGCTGGAGCCGACCTCTGGAAAGAGTGGAAAATCATACTATTATAATGAATTCAGCCTCTAATCCTAATCCCTGGCATGCTGTTTAATATCCAAATGAATCATAACCTCTACTTTCTTCAATCCAGCAAGACCTAATCAGTACCATTGGAGAAAGTGCTGCCTTGGGAGCTGCAGGCATGGTTATCTGGGGAGACATGAATTTAACTTCATCTAAGGTAAGGTAGGATCTTGAAGGCGTAGTTAATATTATTTAAAGTATTTGTTCTTTTCTTCTGGAGCTAACTCCAGCGGGAGCTCTCCTGGCTCCCACAAAAAAAAAAAAAAAAAAACCAGCTTTAGGATTAGAGTCCAAATCGGTGTCCAATACATAGAAGGTGCTCAATAATATTATTAACTTCTGTTAAGATAGTAATAAGAATACTGACATTTGTTGACTATTCATTATGTGCTAGGGTTGTGCTAAATGCTCTTTGTTTTGAGTTTGCTTACTTACTGGTCATAATAACTCTTATGAGGTAAGGACTACCATCCTCATTTATAGAGGAAGAAACAAGAGAGGAAATCCAACTAGGGTAGCAGCTAGTTAGGCTAATTAATGGTGAAGTTGGCATTAACCAGAGTTTGACTCTGGAGCCCTTGCATTTAACTACTATTAAATGTGCTATATCCTATTTTGAGAAGAGGAAACAGATGGTAACTTTTTAATCTCCACATTGAACGATTTTGTCCTCTATGGGGAAATTAGCTGAAAATTAAGAGCGTTTACAGTGTGATTTATATGTCCCTTCAAATTTCTCCCAGTTCAGATATTACTTGCTCCAATAATTCTTCCTGGTTTTCCCCAATTCACATTAGTCACAATCTCTTTTGTATTTCCAGATGTTTGTTTATATCTCTATAGTCTGATACATTTTCCTGGAATTGTATCCTCAACATTTTGTTAAATTAAATTTTTTTGCAAGTTCATTTTGATCTGATATTATTCTTAGAATTTCAAAGGCTCAACTTGTTGCAGCCAAGATAGTTTTCATGAAACTGGGAAAATATAAAGTTAAAAGTCTCCTCTCTCCAATAGGAGAATTAGGTAGAAATGGGGAGAATCAATTTCTGACTCTCCAGGTGTGATATTTCTCTTCCAGCCCATGTGACTCACGAGTGGAGCCTCATCAGGAAGTTTATGCAGGAAGTGCATAAACCAGGTGGCCTCTGTTTAGAACACATAAAGGGAGCCACAAAAAACATGATGTAGTCAGCCTTCTAAGCTTTCTTGTGTTTGACTTGTATACAGAAGTCTAGAACCCAGGGCAGTTGATATTTGAGCATGATTAACAGGAAAACCCAGGAAGCTAGAGGTTGACAATAAATCAGTAGAATATGAGGATTCAGGTTCCTATACAACCATGAAAGGTACCGCAACACCCAAAAGGTGGCCAGAGGACAGCAGCTCTGGCATGATTTCTAATTTGGGTTTGTTCTTTTTTTCACATGCATTAACTTGGGAGCTAGAAGGAGAAAAAGAAGATGTAAATTGGAAGCAGGCAAGTCATTATATGCTGACTCGGGGGCCCATTTGCAAGTTCAGTTGCTTAGCCCCTAGTGTAACATAGTTTCCATCTCCTGCCCCTTGGACCTTTCATCCTTTCTGGTCGTCTAGATACCCTCTGTTACAGCACCTGAGCCTCAGAGATCATCCACTGGCACCAACATGTTAGGTTTCCCTCAAGTCCAAAGAACTGCCTTGTGGGCATAGATGCTTTAATCGTACTGGTACCAGGAAGAACACTAAAACCCCTTTGTTTCCACATTTCTAGGGTAACTGTACAAAGGTGAAGCAGTATCTGAGTTCTGACTTAGGGAGCTACATAGTCAACGTGACAAGAGCTGCTGAGATCTGCAGCCTTCACCTCTGCAAGAGTAACGGGAGATGTTTAAGGAAGATATGGAACTCCTCGGATTACCTTCACTTGAACCCTGCAAGTTACTACATAGAAGCCTCTGAGGATGGAGAATTTACTGTGAAAGGAAAAGCATCTGATACAGACCTGAAAGTGATAGAGGAGAAATTTTCCTGTCATTGTTATCAGGGATATGAAGGAGCTGACTGCAGAGAAATGAAGACACTGGATGGCCGCTCTGGGCTCTTCTCTTTTTCTGGCTCACTAATAACACTATGCCTGCTGGTTTTAGCAGGTTATCAAAGCATTCGGTGGTGAGATAATTGAGTCTGAAGGGAATTGTATGGCCTGTAATCACTTAGAGAAGAGAGGAAAGCTAGGACAGTTTTTCTCTCTTATGAAATCCATTGAGAGGTATCATAAGTAGACATTATGTATGTCACGTAACATAAACAGGGACATACTGCTTTATTTGACTCCGATTTGGCTGAGAAACCCGATCCAGGAATAAAATCAGTACATTCTTCTTCATTACTTGAATGCTTAAGTTGTATTTAAACTAGAGTTAATATATTTTAGTCTTTATATGAACGTGTGTGTGTGTGTGTGTGTGTGTGTGTGTACACATACCAATTTAATTGTTGGTTTCAAAGACTGGTTTTTCTGGCTAGAAATTTTATCAAATACAGATTACTAAGTAATTATCTGATTCAACAGAAGAGGTCACTGCAGGGTATGAACTTCAGTCACTCAATATACTGAAGAGGATCAAACGCAGAGTGTCAGTTCCAGCCTTTGGTTCCCACTGGGCTTCTCTTTCCCACCTGAGCTCACTGAGCACAGAACCAGGTCCTGGAGGGATTTCCCATAAGGGTGCAGAAGCTAAGGCAAGGGAGTAGTTCCTAAGTCATTACAAAGCCGTCTCTTCTAATATGGTGCTTCTCACCCACTATGAGTCCTCTTACTGACCCTGGCAATTTAAATACTGTAAAAGGCTTAAGGATAATATCCACGCTTGCCTAGGCTGACATTGCTCTAGATCCAGAAATTGATGTCATGCTAATACAAATGTAGTTTGTGTCTTTGCAAGCAAAAATCAGCACTGAAAGAAATACTTAACAAACAGTTAAGGGACCTAGAAGTGCTATGGGGAAGGGGTTCTGCCAATAAATATTTGATATTTTGACCCCCATATATAAGTTCTGAGCAGTGTAGTTTTAAGGTCAATTTGAACTTCATTTGAACTGTGGTTTCACTGTCCATCTAGATGTGTGACTCTGAGCAAGTTATTTTTATTTCCCATTTTCTCACTGAAATTTGGTAATATAATTCTCACCCCAGTGAATTATTCTGAAGAGTAAATGGAATGGTACATCCCATGCATACTTTGGCTCTTAATAGATGTTGCTAATCTTTAAGTATCTCCCTGGATCACCAAAGTAATGGAAATACTTATGTTCAAACAGAGTCTTGGGTATTTTCCTCTTTCTGATGTTATGTTCATTTATAACCACTTATGCATTGTGTTCTCCTGAGAGGCATGTACAATTGATAGGATTTCCCAACCCTGGAGAAAATCTACTCTGAAGGTAAACCCAAGGTAGGTATGAAGCTATTATGGAGGCATGAAAATTAATTCAACCTCCTGTTCCATCTCTTCTCTCTTTCTAGGAAATGTCTGCAACCCAGGTGTGCTGTTTCAATTCCAGGTCTAGTTTGTCAGAGTTAGCAACATTGTTAGGGTCTAATTTCTAACTGTAAAATACAAACAAAACAACATAAAACCCTTTTATAATACTATGATTTGGAGATTTCATTACATAAATTAACTTCTTAAAAATTAAGATTTTTTTCATATCAAAGATGATGTAATCACATAATAGAAAATTTGGAAAATAGGAAAAAATAAGGGAGGTCACCAATAATCACTATAACATATACTGGTAACTTTTGGTATATTTCTTCTAAAGGCTTTTTTTTACATAATTGTAATAATGATATATGTATAATTTTACATCCTGTGCCTTTCACTTAACCATGTTGTAAGTAGTTTTCATGCTATTTCATAATCCTTATAAATATTATTTGAGTATCATCTTTAAAGCCACATAATAGTCTATCAACTGAGTGTGGAAAAATGCAATCAACAATTTTCCTTAAGTTTTAAACGTCAAGCTTTTACTACTTAGTCACCTTATCAGAGAATATTTTCCAGATTACCCTTCTAATTCATTCCTTCACCTAATAGTTTTTACATTAATCAATTTATTAAGCATTACTTCTTATCAGGTACTATTGAAATGTATCCTTGAACAAAACAAAGTGCTTTGTCTTCTTAGAACCTACATTCTAGATAGACTAGACATTAAACCTACCAATTAGCAATTTAAAAATTTTTTTAAGTTAAAAAAGGTTTCTTGAGAGAGTGGAGGAGGGGGAGAGAGAGGGAGAAAGAGAGAATCCCAAGCAGGCTCCATGCTGTCAGCACAGAGCGCGATGTGGGGTTTGAACTCATGAACTATGAAATTATGACCTGAGCTGAAATCAGAGTTGGATGCTTACCGACTCAGGCACCCAGGTGTACCCCATTAGGAAATATATATTAGATGTGAAATCTATGTGGAATAAAACAGAGAGCGGAGTGGGGGAGGATGGGATTTTTCATGTGTTGAGCCTCACTGAGCAGATGCTGTGTGAGTGAGAGAGATTTAGCTATGAGGATATTTGAGGGAACAGTATTTCAGGCAAATGAATCAGCTGGTACACATTTGGTAGTAGGTGTGGTGTATTCAAGGACAAGCAAAGAAGGCACTAGAGCTGGATCTTCCCTTCACCATTAACTTCCTTTTTATTTTTTGGTCTGTATTATTGATCACCATCTGACATAGTGTATATGACATATTTGTCTCTTTCTTCCCTTACTAGAATGTAAACTAGAAAAATGAGGACTTAATTTTGTTCACTATTTGCTAGAACACTACTTGCTACAGTGCCTAACACATAGTATGTGTCCAATAAGTATTCTGAATTTTTTTCTTAAGTTTATTGGAGTAATCTCTACACCCCATGTGGGGCTCGAACTCATGACCCTGAGACTAAAAGTCACATGTGCTTCCAAGTGAGCCAGCCAGACACTCCCCAAAATTAACAAATCAATCAATGATTCAGAAATCTGAATCAGTGGAAGCAATATATTTGTTGTAAGTTTTTTTAATTCTGCACACTAATAGTAAGTTATTGCAGAGCCATGCTCAAGCATTAGTGTCCTATTCTAATCCTAGTACATCCTCTGAAATCTGTAGTTTAACCCCTCTGTGAAGATTGCAGGCCTGAAGAGAATAAATCGCTTAGCAAGGTGAAAGAGTCAGTTTGTAAAAGAGCCCAATCTGGGGGTGAGGAGCTGGGTGAAACAGGTGATAAGCATCAAAGAGTACACTTATCATGAGAACTGAATAATGTATAGAATTGTTGAATTACCATAGCGTATACCTGAAACTTATATAACACTGTATTTTAACTATACTGGAATAAAAATAAAAAACTTAAAAAAAAAAAAAAAAGGATACTTCATGCACCTTCTGCAAAAGAACGAATCAAGAATCCAAGTTGCCGAATTTTCTTTCACCATAACTGGTTGTAATGGAATCCAAATATATTCATTCAGCTTTCACCATGAATTTAACACATTTAAGGCAATTAATTTGAGCTACTATTGCTAATTATGTTCAATCAAACTCCGATATTCCGGTTGTAGATTCTCTGTTTAATTTGACTCACTTCTCTTGGAAAGGAAATCTACCTCCTGAGCTGCTTTAATGACCACAACTTCTTTAGATTGTCCTAACTTCCCTTTATGGAAACAGCAAGGTACTTCACCTCTCTACTCTGCAATATTCTCTCTTATAAAAGGAAGATAATAATGGTATCTTTTGTCTTTTCATACAGATTTAATGAAATCATGTAGGTAAAATACTTAGCATAAAACCTGGCACATAAAAAAAATCCCTGGCAAATGTTAGCTATTATTATTATTATCAAGTACTTTCAATATTGCTTCCCATAAAAGCTGTGAGAGGCAATACTGCCTCCGTTTTGAAGTAGAAGTTATGTATCATTTAGAGTATTGATGACTAACTTAATATCACATAGGCATAGCCAAGCCTGAGCCCTTTCTGGGGAAACTTAAAGTAGTTATCTTTTCATCAGATCTCAGCAGAATACAGACTTATTTGTACCAGATTTCTTTTACCAACTTACAGAGTTATATAAATTACAAGTATACTGATTCTGTTTTCAGCTAATCAGTGCTTTTTTGGACCCCATGTAGGGAAACCTATTAAAGTAGCCAATCTACTAGCAATGTACCCTTAGCTTTCATAGTCTAAATATCTACATGCCACAGACCTATAAAAGAAACCAGTCTCTTAGGAAAATGTCTGATTCTGATTCTAAGGAAATGTACAAAATCTGAAACATCTTGTTATACCATTAAACAAGGATGCTATCAAGGAGCATTAGAGTTGTATCACAAGTATTCACTAGCCAACTTAAAGAGTTCACTTCCAAAGGTGGGAAAATTCAGAAATCACTAAAGAAATAACTGCAATGGATTGAAATGCATGAAATGTATCTAAATCCATGAGGTCAAAGTGATATTAAAGAAAAGCCTTCATTGACCACCTTTGAAGAATGTTAAGGAACCAACCTGTTATTCTGAAAACTGGTAAACAAAGGGAAAGAAACAGTTGTTTATTGAACTATTTCCTATATGAATGCTATATACCTCAGGGTAACCAAATAGTGGAAGAAGGAAATTTTCCTTTTTGAGCCAACGAATGAAGAAAGCATGATAAAATTAGAATATAACCATTTTGCAACTCCTAATGAATTACTGGCTCAGGCACAGATCATCAACGGTTGCTAACATCATGAAAAGAGATAAACCCAGATATTACATACCATCTAACTTAAGTATATAACACCAGCTAAGAATAAATCCTTCCAGAAATCAAACAGAAATCTGATCAGGCTTCTACCAATTCACAGGAAGCATAAGGAACAAAGGAAAATGCAGAACAGGACAGGGATATAAAATTCGATTCTAGGGAGCTCTGTAGGACAAATAATCGGGTTTTATCAACAAATACATTGCATAAAAAAAAAAAACAAAGGAGAGAGAACCAATACGTGTGGTTCTTGGGGCTTGTTAAATGAGTTATAGTAGATTTATACAATGGGATAACATTTAGCTTGAAAAGGGAATGAGGAAGTTCTCTGTAGGTTGATGTCAAAAGATGTTTAAAATACAATTGTCTTATTTAGGCTTTATTTTAACTTCTATCTAATCACATTGGAGGAAACTCATGATCTTATACATTAGAAATGTATTTCCAATCTTATTTTGAAAAGATTTCCTGGTGATAGCTAAACTAATCTAAAGTTTCTTAAGATCTAGTGTTGAACTCTGAGGTATACAAATACAAGGGCCATAAG